ATGAGAAAATCCTAATTTTACTTTGTTTTCTCTTTTGTTTTTGGGAATATTTTAGGTTGGGGAGTTGAGTATAAGATGCGCTCGTGTTGGTGGGGTTGAGATACCGAACAACAAGAGGGTGAAGTATTCTTTGCAGTACATCAATGGAATTTCAATTCCATATTCATGAAGTCATTGCGGATTCGTTTTCTCCCTCCAAACTCTTTCTCTTTCCAGAGATGGAGGATATGATAAACTCCTTTTTTTTTAGAAATCTGCCGCAAATCACGCAAGTGATAATTAGATGGAGTCTGACTTCTATGTAACTGAATTTTAGGTATCTATGTAGTTAATTTTAGACAATTAGGTTGATTCACAATATCTTTTGTGTGGATGGTATTTTTTTCAATAATTTGTGTTTCAGGCAGAAGGGTTGAAAATTTCCCTTTTTGACATGGGAAATTTTTAAGTCTCCTACATGAAATTGAAAATATTACAAATATACCTTTCATAAACAAATAATTGTAACTATACCTAAATAAAGAACATTTACTGCATATTTACCTAAAAGTCAGTTACATTTAAGGGTGGACCTCAATCCCATATTTTTCCGCACGATTTGGGGTACCTGCCTAAAAAAACGTACCTAATGTATATGGAATGAAAATCAGAGAATAATAAACGGTTTTACGTACCCATATTTTCCGCACTATTTTCTGAGGTATATGTACAGTATATTTTTGGTATTTGTTCATAGAAATAAATCATGTAGTTTTTAATATTTTTGGTTTATGTTCAGCAGTTTAGTTTTATGTGTGCAGTACAAGTATATTTTTGGTTTATGTTCAGTATATTTTATCTTTATGTTCATTTTATTTGGGGTTTATGTTCAACAATATATTGTTTGGTATATGTTCAGTATATATATATTTCACTAATCACTCACGATTTTGGAGTATATTTCACGTCACATAGAATGTATATGTGCAGTATATTTTGGTATTTGTTCATAGAAATAAATTGTGTAGTTTTAATATATTTGGTTTATGTTCAACAACTTATTTTTATATGTGCAGTATAAGTATATTTTTTTTGTTTATGTTCAGTATATTTTATCTTTATGTTCAACAATATATTGTTTGGTATAAGATAGAAATGACTAAAACAAATCTACCAGACGTAACATAAAAAAACTACAACAAAAAAGTATCGCATATACCAAACATATAGCAGAAATAAACCATTGGATAATAAAAAAATGACAACAAAAAGGTATCGTATATACCAGACGTAACATAAAAAAAAAAAACAAAAGGTATCGCATATACCAAATATATATTGTACATATACTCCAATCAAATGTCTACGAATTTCAACGTAATGACTAATCTACACACAATCCAAAACCCTAAAAAAATCAAAGCAAAATTCAAATACCCTGCAACCAACTAATCATCTCCCCCGATTGTGGCGACGCCGAAACCCTCTTTAGAGTACGCCGTCGTTGGCGGCAATTGAAGAAATCATGCTTCGGAATATATTCATCTTCTTTCTCGTCGACTCCATATAAACCGATTCTCGCATCGCCTACATGTAGATGACTACCGCGGGAATGGCTCGGTAGACGATCTTGTCGAGGGAGTAAGACTCGGTGGAGGACGGCGTTGAAGGGGACGTACTCGGTAAATGAAGGCGATTGTTTGTGTTTAATTAATAATCTTGCACTTCAAAGAAAGGATTGTATCTAATGCCCTTATCATTGCCACTGCTACTATTCAAAGATGAGAGGATATTGGCTGAGGACAAGAAGAACTTGTCTTGCTTCATGGAGCTGCTGTACGGATTATGGGTTTGGTTAGAAAACAGATTTGGATGCGCGTTTTCTTGATCATGAGGATGTTTTTTGTTGCAGAAGAGATATTGTGTATTAAAGATGTCCATAAATTGTGTAACTTTCCCTTAATTATCTAATAAAGTTTAAACTGTTACTCTTGGGTATATTAGCAATATTTTAGGCTTAGTTAGGTAATTGTATAAATATTTATGTAATGGATGTATAATTATAATATATTTTAGATTGGTGGGTACGGGGTGCAATTTCCTCTTTTGACATGGCATTCATGTTGACACTTAGTTCACAACATTTTAATTGGCCCAACTACGTAAGTATGCTTATAGTGGACCTTACTGCCGAAGCCCATTAGGCAACTCATTTAAGTAAGTTCTCGATAATTGCTAAAACACAATTGGCAGTAAAAAATTAGATTAGTATAGTTGGTTCTCAATTTTCATATCCATGAATATTGCTAACGGTAATATATTTTAACTACCTGTAGGTGGTATTTATTAAAAAAACTTGTAAAAATGTAAGATCAATTCGATCTCATTTAAAATTGGTTTTGACTCATTTAATAAACTTTTGAAATCCGAAATTTTAACCTAGTCGTGATTTAACTCAACTAGTTTGATAAAAAAAAAAAAACTCAAGAAATTATTTGAGTTTATCTTGATTAAATCTACAAGTGAGTCGAGATCAAGCTTTCAACAAATCAAAATGAAGTATGTTAGTGGATATCTCAGTTCAAACATTACATATCCTTACGGAATAATTCCGTAACGAAATTGTAGCATTTTTCTAAAGTATGAAAGCGGACGAGACAAGAAGGTCATGCGGTGTGATATATATTACTGAAAGAGACGTACATACTGTTTCCGCGTACACATAATTTAGTTACTGCTTCTCGTTGAATCTTTGTTTCCCAACTGTGTGTACAGCTGCAACATTTATGTTATATATTCATTCATCTTGTTTACTTGCTCTATATATGTGCTGCTGCCCACTCATTAATTTTGCCCTATTTTATGATGACTGCTGTAAGACTCATTAATAAAGTGCACATAATTTGATATAATTAGACAATTTCTACTAATCTTGTTCCAATTGTGCAATTTGCACAGTAATCTATATATATATAATTACTGGTTCATAAACATTTAATAAAACCTATTAAATTATACCTACGTGGCACTTTCCTACCAAAAACCGTTACTTTTCAATTTTGTTTTTTTTATTATTTTATTATAAAAACATATTTGATTTGTATTAATGTGTTGCTATATTAATATTGGTCAAAACCTCATTTACTGTGTAGCCGTTACATTTCTCTTTTTTCCTTATTATCTTTAGTACCTTTGAATTTCGAAAATAATTTTTTTTATTATCAAAAATTGATTCACTCATAATATTTTATCTATTTATTCTCACTAATTTATGATACTTTGTTTTTTAGTAACTAAAGTTGTTTTTGATTTTAGTAAAAATTTTCGACAATATAGTCCTAACTACATTTAGTAAAATTTACCAATTTTAAGTGGCAACTAGATATTCATACTTCTTTAGCAAGTAGTTATTGTAAAATCCACGACACGTAGGTGTATTCGTTTGGAATTTCGAGTGACATTTAAAGGCTAATCGAGATTTGAAATTTTTAAATTAAAAAAATCTTATGAAATTTTAAGTTTGGATGTCAGATTTGTAATGAGTTTTAGTATATGTTTATTTCTTTAGAAATTCCAACAAATCTTAGAAAGTTTTAACAAATGTTAATCTCAAATAATTAAATATATCGGGATGTATACCAAATGAATATCTCAAGACTTTTGTAAGTCTTGAGAACTCTAAATTAAATTATACCATAATTTTCAAAGTCTTAAAAGTTCTTCAAATTTTTTTAAAAATCTCAATTAAATACTCACTTAAATTTAAAATAGCTATTTTGTAAAATCCACAATAATTAATTAAATTTAAATATCTCCCATATTATATACAACACAACAAGTAATTAAATTTAAATATTTCCATTGTATATACAAATCACAAACTCCTTTGCATCTCACTGTACAATTCATTCATGTTGTAATAAAATCGTCCCATTAAATGACAAAAAGCAACTTCCGGAGAAAAATCGGCCACCGCCACATAACATAATCCCCCGAAATTTATATATATACTAGCTAATAGCATTTAATAAAATCTATTTAATTTTACCGATGTGGCAATTTAACCCGTTTCCCTCTAAAAACCGTTACTTTTGATGTATTTAATCTTTTATTTAATTGTTAAATAATCAACACTAATCACTTCAAAATTACAAAAATCATTTTAAACTTTTGATTATTGACAGTTGACCATATAATGTGTTTACCGTATAATGTGATTAGATGTTATAATTGTGGTTAAATTTAAATTATTATTATTTTTAAAATATAAAACGTATTTGATATTCTTAAATAAATAATAAATAATTCACAAAAAAAAGACGTACCAAAATATACATTACATCCAATCATATAAACGCAATTTTTTTTTAAAAAAAATAGATATTCCAACTCCTTTAATTGTAAATTTGGCCAGCAAAAAGGTGAAAGAAAAATAATTAATAATTATATGCATACAAATAACTCACAATACTTTATTTACATTTGTGCAAATGCACAGGTCGAATACTAGTCCTTTGTAATTTGTATAATGACAGGTCCATTTTTGTAAACATAAATACATATTTATATTGTCATTATTATACCTTTATTTACATTATTCTTTAAATTAATTCAAGATTTAATATATATTGTTATATTACACACAAAAAAAAAAA